GATGTCCAGGGGGCTTTCAAACTCCTTTTGGGATTCTTCAACACAGTGAAGTATACACTGGGTGAAAACAGATCTAGGAAAATTTCAAGAGTAATGAAATTAAGTAAGAATCATGTTAGGACACATCTGACAATTTATTTACAGTCAATGCACCATGTGTGAAGGAGTGCTACTAGTTACAAGGCAGACGTGAGTCTTCTACCTTAAGCCCTATGAACGTCAGGATACAAAGGAGGGACCACCCATCCCAGAGTCCGTTCGTGACCGTATTTAACACCTCTCGAAGACTTTGTATAGATCGGGCAGGTTAGCAAGCTGCAAGATATTTCCATCCTCTGTGAAATGTTTTGGAGGCAGAAGGTGTGAGCGGAAGGCTTTATACACAACGTGTTCCACAGTCCACTTCCAGGGGTTTGGAGTGGAGCCAGGCACTTCGCTCTGGAAGAGACAAGTTAGGTGTCATGGGCCTCACCGTTCACATCACTGTCTACACCAGTTTCCTGTGTGATGTGCACTGGGCCTAGAAAGGCTCGGTGGTTTACAATGGGCTGTGTGACCTGATGCTTGTGAAGTATCCTTTCTAGGCCAACCTCAGGGATCCTACAGGCCGGCACACAGGAGATGAGGTGGTGGGAAAGAATCCCCCATGGTGCTCGTGGCCCTTTCCCCTGTGGAAGCTCTGTTTCCACGGGGGGGCGTGTTTACTGAGGCAGGGCTGAGCACAACGTCTGGTCCTGACAATGTGGTTTGCATGGCGGACGCAGGAAGTACATTCCTAAATGACCACTAACTTTGGGGTCTTAATGTGGCTCTACTTTCCAAAAAGCTCCACAGGTAAGAAATGAAAATAAACATGATGGCTGTGCTCCACCCTCCCTCTCCCACACCTAAGCCTTAGCTGCCTCGTGTACGAGGAAATACGTTCTCATCCATCCTTCCTTCCCTTGAAGTAAATGTTTCCAATCCGATGAGATCCTCTCAACACTGTCCAGAAAGTGTGCCCTCCTGCCACCTCCACTGCAGGGAGATGGGGGGGTTGTGGCAACCCTGCGTCGAGCAAGTCTATTGGTGCCGCTTTTCTAACAGCATTGTTTTCTAATTAAGGTCTGTGCATTGTGTTTTTAGAGATAATGTTACTGCGCACTTAACAGACTATGCAGTATACCTAAACCTAACTGTTATATGCACTGGGAAACCAAAGAAGTCACGTGACTCACAGAACCTGCACCGTCTCTGAAGTATTTCAGGCCCCTTCCCCCACCCAACCAGACCCTCCAAAATACTTGGTGATGGAAAACCTCACGGAACCCAAGGAACCAAGGCTCTTTTGTGTTAGGCTGAGCTTCCGTAAGAAGAGCTGGGGATCTGACCTAAGTCCAGCCCTGCTTTCCTGACAATGCAGTGGTCAGATGTGGAGTAGGCACGAGCTGGGAGGGACTGGGGAGGCTGACCCAGACCCTGAAGGCGGTGGCTACACGTGTCCGGGCTAACAACAGGAGATCTGGGCCCACTAGCCCTGGAAAATCCAACTCAGCCTCCCATTTCTCACTGCAATGGCATCTTCTGGTATTATTTCAGAAGGAAATAAAACTCATGAATAAGAGCTGAGCACCGTGTTTAAACCTCACGTGCAGTGAAACCCTAGGACCTTAGAAAGGGGCAGGTTTCATCATCTGAGGTTGTGTGAGAGCCCCTCCCAGCCCGGGGGCGCCAACCTGCATCACTGTGGTACCTGCTGGCTCGAGAGGGTCGACTCCTCGGATACGTACTGCTTCCGGATGGAGTAAAACAGAGCACATTCTTTACTGAGGCTTTCAAAACATTCCTTTTCTTCATCCCAATTCACCTGGTCCAAAGAGAATATAATACATCAATGTAGGTATGTGCTTTAAACACACTTCATCTCTAAATGGAAATCAAAGACTCAAAAAGTCAATGTGACTTTTTAGGCATTTTAGCTATAAACTGGAACTGCTGAATACGGCTGGGGGAGGAGGCGGGGGAAGAGGAGACAGGCCTTGGGCTGTTATACCCTTTTCATCTTTGTGATTCCAGGTGAAGGTGGGGCCACGTGCCCTCTCCCTCCAGCACACACTCACGTACTGGCTTCATTACTTACCTCGGTGGCCAGTCGGAGAACGAAGATAGGCAGACCCTCCAAAGGGGGCACATAGTTGTCGATCAGAAGGGGTAATCCAATCAGGTTCCCTTCCTGCTTGTGGAAAAAGGCCAGGACAGAGGGACAAGAAATAATGCTGTTACTGTTTAGTTTGAACAAGTTCCACTCCCCTGGTGCTTCCGCCAGCTCTGGTCCTCACACCTGCCATTCCAGGAGACCAGATGCTTCACTAGGCTGGGCACTGGGGGCAGGAGAGCTGAGCACTTCAAAAGAGCTTTCTGTCCTGACATGCAGCAGAACCATCTTTTCTTTGCATCTGCTCACCAACCAAAAAACCCGTAAGGCGAGCCCCAGAGAGCTCAGGATAAGAGGAAGACACAGGGGGAGCAAGTGGCAAGGCAGAACCTCATTCACTATGGCCTGTGGGGATCGGGGGGTTCAGCTCTCCCTCAGGTGGGGTCCTGCACTCTGGTAACAGGAATGGGCACCAGTGGATGACAGAGCAGTGTGGGCCTAGAAATGCAGACGAGGAGTAAAGAAAATGTCACCTAGGCACATGCTGCTTCTGAGAGGGGCCCCAGCCATCTCACCCTCATCTTGGACCAACTACAGAACTTGACTCTGATTTGAAGAATACAATGGAGACATAAAATAGCTCACACACTTCATCAATCTCCAGAGAGAAGTAGTCCGCAAGCATCTCGGCCTTCTTCTTCAGAAACTCAACAATGTATTCGGCAAGTCCTTCTTTGGGACCATCTTCCTCTGTCCAGCCGCTCTCGGGACTGTCTAAGGCGAGCATGGCGAGGTCAAAGAGCGATGCTGGCTCCTGGGAAGGAGCAAGGACATTCAGCAGCGAGCAGACCAGGGCATCCGAACGAAGCCTGATTCCCCACAAAACCATCATCACAACAGCAGGGGAGAAGCCACAAATTTAACACTCATCCCCCAGCCCCCAAAGAAAACACCTGAAATTCCACAAAAGAAGGCCAGTTGAACAGAGAAGATGTGGCAGACAAAAGTCCAGGGAACAGGTGGGAAGAGTGAGGTAGTGAGGAGGCCCTTTGCTTTTGTGCAGCTTTCCTATTTCTACAAAAATCATTAGGCAGATCGTTCACTTCTTTCTACTGCCTTACGCTCCCCTCCCTCTTGCTTTAGTTATGGGTAAAGCGAATAACATTTCAGGGAAGCCATCTGATGAGGAAGACTGAAATCTATTGTGAAAAATGGCCTACATTGCCTTCCATTTCTCTTTCTGACATTGTTACTGTAGTCACACATTTTACTTCTAAATGTTGTAAACCCACGGTACGCTGTTCTTATTTTTTCATAATAACAGAAGTCAATGAACAAAAAGAGCTAACAATTCTGTTTATGCACTCAATAACAGAGCTTTAAAATATATAAAGGATAAAACAGAACGTGGAAGAGAAATAGACACAATTACATTTGGAGGCTTCAAAGACCCCTTTCCCGGTAATTGATGGAACAAGTAGACAGAAAATCAGGGTACAGAAGACTTGAGCGTCACTATTAACTTGATATACATGCCATTACAGAACATTCTACCCAACAAGACCAGAATACAAATTCTTTTCAAGTGCACATGGAACATTTACAAACACAGATCAAATTCTGGGCCATAAAACAAGCCAGTCTTGATAAGTATAAAAGGATTCAAATATGTTCTCTGACAAAAATGGAATTAAATTAGAAGTCAATTAACAGATCTCTGGAAAAATCCTCAAGTAATTAGAAACTAAGTAATATACTTGTAAAAAATGTGAGGGTCGAAGAAGAAATCAAAAGGGAAATTATTTTGAACTGAATGAAAATGAAAACAACTCATCAAAATGTGCAGGAAGCTGGCAAAGGAGCACCTGGGGAGATGGTGAGCACGCGACACCCCCCCTAGGGAAGGTCTCAGAGCAGGGACCTCAGCTTCTGAAACAGAAGAACAAATTAAACCTAAAATAAATAGAAGAAAGGAAAGATCAGAGCAGGTATCAATGAAATGGAAATCAGAAAGCAACAGAGAAAAATCAATGAAACCTGAAGTCAGTTGAGATCAGATTCACAAACCTTCAGCCAGAATGATCGAGTTAAAAGGAGAAGACATCCATTACCAGTATTAGGAATGAGAGAGACTACATCACCACAGAGCTACAGATGTCAAAATAGTAATAAAAATTATGAACAATTTTATGCCAATAGATTTCAAACCTAAATGGACAAATTCCTTGAAAGAAACCCAATACTAAAGCTCACTCAAGAAGAAACAGTTAACATGAACAGCTCTTATATCTATGAAAGAAATTGAATTTTAGTCAAATATATTCCCAAGAGGGACACTCCAGGCCTGGATGGCTTCACTGGTGGTGAATTCTACCAAACATTTAAGGAATAAACAATTCTACACTAACTTTTTTGGAAGACAGAAAAGGAGGAAGTACTTCCCAACTCATTCTCTGAGGCCAGCATTACCCTGATACCAAAGCCAGACAAAGACAAGAAACCTACAAACCAGTATCATTCATGAATATAGATGGAAGAGTTGGAAACAAAATTTTGGCAAATCAATTCCAATAATATATAAAAAGCACAATATGCCATGTACAAGCAGAGTTCATTGCAGGAATGCAAGACTGGTTTAATATATGAAAATCAATCAATGTAATTCACTATATTAACAAAAAAAGGAAAACCATACAATTATCTGAACAGATGCAGAAAAACCACCTGAAACAATTCAGCATCCATTCCTGAATAAAAACTCCAAACATACAAGGAATCGAAGGGAACCTCCTCAGTCTCATAAGGTTCACAGACAAAACCCTGCCTGCCTACGGCAGAAAGTGTACTTCATGGTCAAAGATTGAACACTTTCCCCCTGAGATCAGGAATAAGAGAAGGATTTCCATTCTCACCACTTCTGCTCAACCTTGTACTAAGGTCCTTGCCAGTGCAATAAGCAAGAGAAAGGAAGAGGCATTCAGAGTGGACAGGAAAGAATAAAAATGTCTTTAGTCACGGATTCTATGATCATCTATGCAGAAAATTTGATAGAATCAATAAATGAGTTTAACAAGGTTGCAAGATACAAGATTAATGCACCAAAACACTTCTATTTATATATACTAGCAACAATTGGCAATTTTTTAAAAAAATGCCATTTACAATAGCATCAAAAAAACTGAAATATTAAGTGATAAATGTAATAAAAGATTTTCTCCCCAAATTGACCTACAGATTCAACACAGTCCCAATAAAAATTCCAGAAGGCTTTCTGTAGACTATTTCAAACATAAAAAGATCTGAAACTACATAGGTAAGCAGTAGGGTTTTAACTCTGAATTAAAATTGGGCAATGACAGAGTCTTGAAAGAAATGGATTAAAATTGTTAGCTGGGGTTGTGTTTGGGTCATGGGCTCTCGAGAATGTTTATTTCTATTTTTATCTCTTTCCCAGCTTTCTTAAGTAGATATGTATCAATTCCTATAATAATAATAAACATTTAAGTTGGCTACCAAATGACTGTTCTGCTTTGTGTAAAACTGGATTATAAAGATAATTCCATAGCCAAATCATACAGAAAAATGTAATACACCACAAATAAGATACCAAGGTAGAGCTATTATTTTCAGAAATGACCAGCTGTTGAAATTTCAGAAATGAGAAGCAGGAAATAAACTTACCGAGAACCTCAGAACACCAAAATTGGCAAAATCATAAATGAGAATCTGGTAGAACAGTTCTTCACTGAAAATAAAAACGCAGTGACGTTAAGGAAGAGCTGAGTAATCCATGCTTGAGAGCCAAGCAGGAGGGACAAGACGGGAGAGAGAACCTGACACGTGGAGGAGACAGAGATGTTCTGCCTCATTTGGGGCCTTTCTAACCATCCACTGGGACTTGCTGTTCCACCAGGAGCCAGGGCTCCAGCAGGGGCCCCGGCCGGGGCTATGGTGGCCGGTCTCCGCCTCAGGTCAGAGCACTAGGACTACATCTGGCTTGTCACCACCCATGCTCTGTCCCCACCCCCTGGTGTTGTGAAAGGTTTTGACACCCAGTAGTGATAAGGTTAAGTTTTTGCTTGCTTAGCTTTTCCTCACTTGAAAAGAATCCCATAAATCACTTCTTCTACAACTCGCCATTTAAAAAACATGGGACTCACAGGGAGGGGAGGGAGATGCCTATGTAATGAGAAGTGAACATAAGGCAGAATGAGACGACTCTGGTGTATGTAGGGTTTATGCACTGGCTGGCAACGTTCCAAAAGCAGCTGCGAAGTATACGATACACTGAACTACTTACAAAAACTCAGAATCGAAGTAAGTGATACTCAGTGGCTGTGAAAGTGATCTGAACCACAGGGGTCTTGTTTAAAGCCTTCTTTTCCTTATCAAAGGAGAGAAAGCATCAGCTCTGGGTGCGTTACAGCAGGGACACTGAGACACCCACGCAGTGACTGCCGCGTCCCGGGGCAGAGTCAGGAAAGTGGGAAGGGCAGGAATTCAGTCTAGAGACTGCACTCTCAACGTGGTTCACTGTCTCCCTGGGAAACTGTTCACACTGTATCGGGAGCTGAGATTCTGGGACTGGCTTGGATTTGTACCTGTGAAATGAAGGACCTGAACAACTGTGATGTGGCACCTTGGAAATCATGCTCTTAGACGCACTGAGAGAGAAAAAAGGGGAGCAAAATTCCCCAACAAATCAGTAGACGTCAGCTCACTGTGCAAGCCCACAGGTTCTCAAGGCAAAGACGATGCCCCTGAGCAGAGCTGCACCAAAATGGTTTCCAAGCCTAGGAGGAAGGAGTCCCAAACATCCTGCAGGTAGGTGTGCTGGCACTAAGTTTCCGGAGTGGGCCAGGTTCCAGGTTAGGGGGGTGAAATGGGTTTTTAATCCCTTGTGCCAACTCTAAGCAATGTACGGGGGCCGCCCCACTCACAGGGCCAAGCAGCACTGTGAGGCCACAGCAAGGCTTAGTGGGAAACAGTCCCACGATGGACAAGTGACAATGTCCACTGGACGCCAGGTGGCAGCACCCTCTCATCCATACTACTGATTCAAGAATGCATAATGTAGGTTCTAGACTCGACAGGAGCCATCCACCAAGGTCCCTGGAAACAGTCAGTGGAGACATCGCTGGCTAAGTGCTGGTTAAGTGCTGGGCGAACAGCACTGCGGGGCTCACCCTTCGTGCGCTCATCAACCCCGCTGGCTCTCTGGCGGCTGGAACAGGCCTCCACTACATCCCCAAAGCCGGGCAGAAAGGAGGCATCAGGTCTCCTTCCTCCTGCACCCCCCCCAGCCCCCTGCTGTACCCCGCAGATGCTAGAATTCTCCACCAGCACCAAGTCCTCCACACCCGGTTCACAGCAGCCAACATTTACTGAGCTCCAGGCACCTACCAAATCCTAGGTATCTCATGTCATTTTATCTTTACAAAATCCTGCAAGTTAAGTAGCAATACCCCAAATTTACAGATGAGAAAATCTGAGACGCAAGTTAGGAAAGTAACTTGTCCATGGTTACATCAATGGGAAATGGTTAAACCCAGATGTGAAACCACATCTGTGTGACTCCAAAGCCAGGGCCCTTTCCAACTACATCATCTTGTTCTCCCCGGTTTCCCGCCTGTGCCTCCAGGATCGCTCCCTAGGAGCTCTGCCTTTCCCACGTACACGCTGATTTACCTAAGTCTCGTGGTGTTGAGAAGGTATAACTTGGTCTGATGTTGTGCCAAGGCCCACTGAGGATTCACACAGCCCACAAAGGAGTGGTCACGCAGCATCTCCCGGAGAGCTGGAAAACAAGGCACGGGTCAGTATCGGCATCCCACCCACACCTCTCCGCCGCCCAAAGCACCAAGCGCTGTGACTAGAGGGGACAGACAAGCCAAGATGCCCAAACTGAGCCTCTTGCTGAAAACAAACACAAATGAGGAGTAAGTCAGAACTCATCTTTCAAAATGCAACCTGGAACTACCAGAAGATTAAGGAACACTCAAAGATTACAATCCAAGACAAAGCAGGAAGCCAGAGAAGTAACGAGAGCTCTGAAGCCAGCTGTATCTAAAGACACCAGAGGAACCACAGGAATCATGAACTTCAGTTTCTGCGGACTCTGAGGTGTAGAAAATGAAAAACAAAAGCCCAGGGATGGTGTGAAATGGTGATTGTGATAGGAGACCACTGGCAGCCAGAGTTCACGCTAAGCAGGTTGCCTGAAAACCTCAAGTGGAGATTTCAGTTTAAGCTGACTCCAGGCTCACTGTTCCTGATAGAATCAAATGCAAATTCACTCTGGAGAAATTCGTCTTTGATTCAGACTTCAAATAACTCTTCACAGATAAAGTACCAGGAACTAGTGGTCAAAAAACTACAAAACACGCAAAGAAACTAGGCACCAAGAACTGGAATCCAGAAGAAATCACAGAATTGTACCTGCCAAGGTTTCAGAGATTGGAAAAATCAACAAAGATGATAAACTAAGTATGTTCTGTATGCTGAAGAGGTATTAAAACATTGAGAAGTAGCAGGAGACTATAAAGAATGATCAACGAAAGACAAATATTATCACTTATATGTGTAATCTAAAAAGTAGTATAAACGAACTTACAAAACAGAAACAGACTCACAGACACAGAAAACAAACTTATGGTTACCAGAGGGGAAAGTGAGTAGGGGCATAAAATAGGAGTCTGCCGTCAACAAACTACTATACAAAAAAAGATAAAGAACAAGGATTTCCTGTATAGCACAAGGAACTATATTCAATATCTTATAATAAATATAATAGAAAAGAATCTGAAAAGAATATATACATATATATAAAAAAACTGAATCACTTTGCTGTACACCTGAAACACAGTATTGTAAATCAACTATAGTTCAATTTAAAAAAAGAAATAACACCAATCTTACATAAACTCTTTCAAAAAATAGAGGAAGGAGGAATAATTCCTACCTCACAAGGCCAGCACAACCCTAATACCAAACCTAGGAAAACATTTTAAAAAAGGAAAACTTTAGACCAATATCCTTCATGGTCATAGATGCAAAAATCCTTAACAGAACATCAGCAACTTAAATCCAGCAACATTAAAAAGAAAAAGAATAATGTATCGTTACCAAGTAGGAATCAGGCCAGGAATGCAAAGCTGATTTAGCATTTGGAAAAATCTCACCATATTAACAGAATAAATGAGAAATATCATATGATCATTTTAACATTTTAATGGATTTGGAAAAATTGTTTGGTAACAACCATTTATAATTGAAAACTCTCAGCAAACTAAGAATAGAAAATAACTCTCTAAATCTGAAAAGGGCATCTCTGAAAAACAATGAACATCACGACTGATGGTCAAATACTGAATGCATTCTTTCCACAACGGAGAACAAGATAACAAATGGCCACATTTACTCATTCCATTTGACCTTGTACTAGGGGGGCCCAACCACTGTAATGAAGCAAGGAAAGGCAACAGTATAAAAATATGAGAGGAAGAAAGTGGAGATGTCTCCATCTGCACCTTCGGCAAGGTCACGTGACACGAGGTCTTCTGTATTTTAATATACTAATGGGGATCAAAATTTCGTGGTAAACAATGGGAAAAATAATTTTATTTTGACTCAACCTTAAAAATTAAAACAAAAGTAACAATAATTTATATTAAAAATGATCAAGGAGATTTCCAAGAGAATCAAATAAAATTTCTAAAAATAAAAAGGATAATAACTGAAATTAAAATCAAGATAGACTGACAGAATAGACAAAGTTGGTAAGGTAATTAATGGGAAGGTAGATCTAAAGAAATTATCCAGAATGCAGCACAGAGACAAAGAAAGGGAAATAGGAATGAGTGCTTACTAGGCAACGTGGAGGCGAATAAATACGTAACTCAGGTCCCAGAAGGGGCAGGGCACAGGGGAGAGACAATCACTGAAGACTCTCAAGACAAAGTATCAGAGAATATCCCAGCGGTGATGACAAGGTACCAAGCCTCAGCTCTACAAAGCCCAACAAAATCCACATCTGCCACACAGAGAAACTGCAGGGCACTAAAGAAAAGAGATCTGAAAAGCACTCAGAGGTAAGAGAGAGATTACTCCACAAAGTACCAAAATACAAGACTGACAGCTGAATTTTCAACAGTAAGAGCAGAAGCCCAAGATCGACAGAATAACACCTTCAATGCACTAAGAAAAAATAACTGCCAATCTGGAATTTTAAACCCAGCAAAGAAACTTAACAAAGTAAGGATGAACTGGACGAAGCAAAACCCAGTTTGCCATCCCAGGCCCCACCGAAGGAGGTGCTGAGGGCAGACCATGAAAAGTCTGAGGGAAAGAATCACGAGCAAATGACAATGGCTAAATCCAAACAAGCTGACAATAACCACATGGAATGGAACAGTTACTCACATGGAAACTGTGAGTTTACCACCGCACACCAAAAATAAATTCCAGGGGGACTAAGATTTAAATAGAAGCATTTTAGGCGACAATGTAAGAGCATATATTTAATTATCCCAGAGTTAGAAAAAACTTCCTGAATAAGATTTAAAAAGCCAATCTGTAAGAACTCAAAATCTGCCTACATTAAATCTAAGAATTTCTTTTCATAAAAAACATACCACATGAGCCCTAAACTGAGGGAAGTTATTTTCACGTAACTGATTACTATCTAGAAAAAAAAACCCAAAAAACAACCTCCTGAAGTCAGAGACTAAAAAGCCAACAGCAAAGGGAACAAAAAGCTTGAACAGGCACTTAACAGAGGATGTATACTTACTCAGCTTCATCAGTAACCAGGGAAACGCAAATAAAAACCACCATCAGATACTCTTTCACCAACACCAAAGTGGTAAAAAGTCTGACAATACCAAACACTGGAGAAAAGCAGAGCAGAGCAACTCTCTGCACTGTGGGTGGGACCACACACTGAGCAACCCCTCTTCGGAAGACAATCTGTCATTTCACAAGTCAGCGTAACTCCAGGTAAGCGGACTCCCTGCACAGAGCCTCCGGCCAGGGTGCCAAGTTCCTGACCCACTCAGGTCTGGGGAAGGGGAAGGGGCAGGGGCAGGGAGGGCAGGGCTGAGGCCACCTGAGGCCCCCACACGTCCTTCCACAGCAGAATGAATGACTGAACACGTGGCAGAGTCGTGAAGTGGAATCCACCACAAGCAGAGAAAGTAAACCAGAGCATATGTAACAGGATGGATGAATTTTAGGAACGTGTGTGTGTATTTATATACATTGCAGATAAATACAGTGTAATTCCCTTTATATAAAATTTAATACTTAAAACTAGATAACAGATTTCATAGGGCTACATATGCATGTGGTGAAACTATAATAAAAGGACACAACAGTCACAAAACACTGGGTCGTAGTCATCCTGAAGGAGGTGGGAGGGTCTGGGACAGGGAAGGGGGGCACAGGGCTGCACTGGGGATGGCTCGTGCTGTTCCTTTTTCTTTTTTGAAATTAGTTTATTTTTATGTAATTTATTTTTTGAAGAGGGGAGGTAACTAGGTTTATTTATTTTATGAAGGTACTGGGGATGGAACCCAGGACCTCGTGCACGCTGAGCACGCGCTCTACCACTGAGCTATACCCTCCCCTCTCTGTGCTGTTTCTTTAAGCAGGTATTCTCATGTTTTCTCCTGTAGATCCCACTTATGTTTTATAAACATGATTTCGCATCTACTAACATATATCTGCACGCGTGTGTGTACGTGTACATACACATACACTTAATGAAAGAAGTAAACACACCAGCACCACAGAGGGGACGGGGGACAGGGTTTGGAGACAACGGGGCCAGGGTCTGGGACAGCAGTAAGCCCGTACGTCACATTTTCACTATACCTTTTCTCAAGGTTGGGCATCGCACGTGAGTTCTCACGTTATTACATAAGTTCTGCAAGTCTCTGCTCCCCCCTTAAAAAGAGGCTTATTTTTCTCATTTTTTAGAATAAATGTTCCCCTCTGTTCCCACTGGAAACTCAATGTCTCTACAGGATGTTCTGCGTAGGCGGAAAGTAATTATTTTAAAAGCTGGAGGACATCAAATAATCTTGAATAATGAGGCACTGGAGGAAAGAGAATCGATGTAATCCACTCAAAAAGGGTCAGAGATTTTTTCCATGCAGATTTTCCAACGCAGCTCTGATGTGCCCACAGCCACCGAAGCGAAGCACAGCCTGGCCGGGGGTCGGGGGAGGCGGGGGCGGCCGCTCCCCGCACGGGGCTCTCTCCAGGGAGGGCGACAGAGCGACGGAGCGCAGGCGGGGCGTTTCCTCCCCGGGCTCCGCGCACGCGCACCCGCACCGCCGCGGCCTCCGACCAGGACCTCAAGCACCTGTGCTTCACTCCTCTGCTGACTACGCCCACCGCACTGGAGGTCGCGGGGCACCTCCCCGTCGTTCTGCCAGCAGCAAAACAGGACAAAATCGTCTGTGCTTCCAGGCCAAACCCCATATCGGAGTTCATGATGAGGCCGTGGGTCTCAGCACAGTTTTCCGAGAAGCGGCAAGTAAAGCCGCCCCGGGGAAGGGCGGGCATCCTCTGGTTCCTGCCGGCCCCATGCGCAGCCCCCGGGCACCACGGCGTCTGGCTGTAGCCTGAGCTGACTGAGAAGCCCTCCCAGGCAGATGTCACCCCATCACCCTGGCTGACGGAGCCTTCTGTCTCTGTTCTAGAACATCTCTCACCCACCTTATGTTACAGCCGGCAACTTACTAAACAACCCTCACAACCCCATGGCATTCTTCAAGACGGGGGTTTGAACCC